CGAGGTTATAAAAAAGCTTTTATAACGTTATTATCTTTTTAATAATTTTTTATAAATAAAAAAGCTTTATTTTAATTATAAAAGTCGTTATTATTAATTATTTAGACGCCTTTTATTAAATTAAATTATTAAAAAGTATTATAATATATTTTTATAACGACTTTTTTATAATTTTATTATTTATAAAAAAGGTATCGTTAGTTATAAATAAAGGTAAATTATAGTTAAGTCTTTAGTTTATTTTACCTTTTTATACGTTATAATAAATTATTAAATAGCGTATTTTATATAAATATTTAATAATTTAATTTATTATTTAAAAATATTTAAAACTTTAGTTTTTAAAATATTTAAATAATAGTAAGACTATTTATATATAATCGAGACGTATTAATATTAAAATATAAAAAACCGATTTTATTTTTTTAATATATTTTTATTTATATAAATATAAATTAGTTTTTATATATTCTTAAATTATTTATAAATAATAATATAATTAAATAAATATTATTTATAAAATCGAACTTTTAAATTATATTTTTTATATAAATATCGTATATAAAATAGATATTTTTATTTTTTTTATTTTATATAATCCGAACTTTTAAATAATATTTTATAAGTTTTTTATTTTATAATTTAAATATTACTTTTATAATATTAATAATAATAGCCGTATATTATTTATAATTTTTATAAAAAAGTATAAAAATATTATTTATATAAAAAATAATAATAATTTTATAATTCGGATTTTAGTATATATAAGGATTTTTAGTTATTAAAAATAGGCTTACGTTTTATCGTAAGAGGTCCAGCGCACAGCCACGTGTAGCTAAGGTAGTACCCGCTTAAGTACGCTTATTAACTTATTTCCTAAGCGCCTTTAGTCGGTATATTTATTTAATTAATTTATAAAATATTTTTAAGAAAAGATAAGTATTTTAAATTACAAGAACTATATTTTTACGTTTTTAATTTATAATAATTATAAACTTAGTTTTTACAGACTTTTTTTTTAAAATATAAAAACGGATAAGTATTTTTATTATTTTGAAATTTATAAAAGTATAAAACGTTTATTGACGATATTAATAACCGTTTAACTTTTTATATTTAATAATAGCTAACGCTTTAATATAAAAGTAGATTAATTAATTTAGTATATTAGCTTTTAAATATGTATAAAAACCGTATTTATTTAAAATCTTATTAATTTAAATATAAAGAACGTTAATAACGATAATATACGATTATTAAAAGGATTAGACTTTATTAAATTAATCGCCGAGCGTACTATCGAATTAAAAAATAATTATTATAAATAATTAATTGTTTAAAAAAACGATAATAATAAAAACGAAATCTAAACGTTTAATAACGATAAAGTCGACTAAATTTAAATTTTTTTAATTAATAAGCTTACGAAACTACGTCTTATTAAGTTTAATAATATTAAAAATAAATATAAACGACTTATTAAAAATTATATTAATTAAAATTAAATATAAATAACGATTATAGCGAGCTATCGCACGATCGAATTTTTTATTTTTAAAATAATTAATTTATAAAAGCTTATAAATACTTAAATAGAATTTTTATATAAAAATTAAACTAATTTTTAAAAGTTTATATATATATTAAAGTATAATTTAATACTTTTTAAATTTATGATTTTTTTAATAATTTGTAAAAAGTATAATAACGTACTTTTTTAAACTTTTTAAAGTAACGTCTTTTTAACTATTTAATATTCTGATTAATATAAGGTATATAAGCGATCTTAAGTTTATAATATACTTAAGCTTTAAAAGGTTTTAATAATAAAAAGCTTTTTTAAAGTTATTAAAACCCGCTTTATACCGATTTAAGTAACATAAATACTTAATAAGCTTATTATAAATAAGAGATTTAGGCGCCTTATTTTAATTTTAAAAAAATACGAACGGACTTTTAAAATCCTTTATTAAAAAAATTAATTTTTAAAAAGCGATAATAAAAGCCTTAACCTTTTTATTATTTTTAAAACGTTTAAATAAGTTTAATAATTAAAAAACGACGTTTAGGGCCTATTTATATAAAAAAGATTATTATTAGTCCTTATAAAATTAAAAAAAAGTTCGAAAAGCTTTTATAAAAACGTTTAAATATATAAAAAAGCTTACGAATAAAAAAGCAGTTAAAATTAAAGATTAAATAATATTATTAATTTTCGATTATATTTAAGCTAAATATTAAAAAAAAGGGTAGTTAATTAGTAATATTAAAAACGTATATTAAAAGAACCGAAGGGACGGCAAAACCCGTTTAAAAAACTATTTTAAAAACGTCGTAACGATTATTATTTTTAATAATAATAAAAAATTATAAAAAAACGGTTTTATAAGCTTTTTAATATTTTTAATACTTTTTAAAAAACGCTATACTTTATTAAATAATACGATTTATAATAGTTATAAAAGATATTATTTAATTAATAAGAAAGCTTTATTAAAAAAGGGTTTTTATAAATTTTATTTAAAAAGCGAGTTTATAAAAGCAGGTATTACCTATATTTATATTATAAAAATTAAAATTAAAGTCCTTAAAAAAGCTTTTTATAATAAAAAAGGCTTTAATATTAAGGACTTTATTTTAAAAAACGTCGCTATTATAAAAGGCTTTTATATTAATATCGTTTTTAAAATACGTTTATTAAAAACTAGAATTTAATATTACGGCTTTAATACGACTTTACGTTTTAAAAATATAAATAAAAATGTAATAATAACTTAATTATTTAAAAATTCTTTTTTTTTTAATATAAGCTTATTATTTATTATATTATAACCTACTTTTTAATATTAATAAGTTTTTTATATTTTATAATAACGGTTTAATTTAATATTTTATTATATTATAAACCCGATTTAATATGGTTTATATAAATAAAATAGACAACGCGATAGTTTAATATTTTTAAATCAACTATTTAAAATTAAAAGCTTTTTAAAATTTAATTTATAACATTTGAAAAGTAATTATAAAAAAGTTATTAAAAATAAAATACGAATATTACGCTTTTATATATATATAAAAAGTAATTTTTAAATTCTTTTTAAAAGATCGAGCTTTAAAACCGTACTATTATATATTTTAAAACCTTTTCGATTTTTTAAAATCTTTTAAAAGCTATTCTTAATTATTTATAATTAAAAATAAATACTTTATAAAGCTTTTTAAATTCCTTTTAAAAAATAAATAAATAAAATTAATTTTTAAAATTATAAAAGTTTTTAAATTTTAAATACGCCGTTAAAAAAGCTTAATAATTTATAAAATCCGTATAAATAATAAAAAAATAGTAATCGCTATACGTAAAAAAACCCTATTTTAAATATAAATAAAAAATAAAAAGATCGATTTTAAGCTCCCTTTTACGTATATAAAAAAATTAATAAAAAAGGGTAAGCGTATAAAAAAAAAGAAATTATTAAAAATATTAAAATAAAATTAATAATTAGACTTTTAAAAAGCTTATAAGATAAGTATACGTTAATAAAAATATTTTATAATATTTTACTATATTAAAATATAATTTAAAAATCGCTTAACTAAATAAAAAAATAATAGTTTAAATAGTATTTTAAATAGTAAGCGCTTAATTTTATTTATAAAATAACTTAAGACCTATATTTATATTAAAAAGGCTTTTATATTTACGATTATAAAACTTACCTACTTTTAAAAAACTATAAAAAAAGAATTAAAAAAAATATTATAAAATATTTTTATAAAGGTATATTAAATACTTTATTAAATATATAATAAATATTTATAACTTATATAAGATCTAGGTTTTTATATTTAAATAAATAATAATTAACGTATATACATAGCGAGTCGCCTATTATAACGAGTCGCCTACTTTTAAATACCCTCCTACTATTTATATAAATTAATTAAGCTATATCGTACGAAATTAATTAAAATTACTTATTAGCCTTTTCTTTAGAAGTCTCTTAAACTATTTAATATATTTATGTATTATATTTAATTTTTCCGTAGTTATTATATTACCGCCTGCGCGATTTAACTCCTTTTATACAAATATCCTTTTAATATATATTTTCGTTTTTAATATTAATAACCTTTTTTTTTATTTAAATTACCTCAGCCTTAATAATATTAAATAAGTTTTTAAAACGTAATTGTGTTTTTTTAACCCTTTAGCGCTTATTTAATATTTTATTTATTATATAAAGCCCGCGGTATTTAGTTTTAATAAGAGTTAATTTATATATTAATTTATTAATACTTTTAGTTTATAAATTAATAATTTCGTATAAATATATTAATAAGCTATATTAATAGCTATAAATCCGTTTCTTAAATAAAATAAAGCTTCGTATAGCGTTATATATTATAATTAATATTTTTAAGTCTTAAGAGCCCTAGCTATTTAGGCGTAAGTTAAATAATATTAACATTTTTAACTTAAAATTTAAACGAGAAATAATTATTTTTAGATTAAAAGATATAATTCTAGCCTATTTAAAACTAATTTATACGTTTTTTTTATTTATTAAAATAAAAAAGGCTATTTTAAAAATAAAAAAAAAGTCGTTTTTAATAATATACGTAATTTATATCCGTATTATCTTTTTAATTTTTTTACTAGTTAAAGCTTTTAATAAACTAAAATAACTAATATTAAAAAGTTAAAGCTCGTATAATAAATAGGGAGGTATATAAAAAGCGATAATATTACGCTTTTTATAATAATTATCGAATTTAGTTAATTTATAATTATTATAGCTATCGAGGATTAAAAGCCGTTTAATACCTTTCGTACGAAACTTTATATATTTTTTAAAATATTTTAACTAATTTAAGCTAATTTTATTTATAATTTATTTATTTTTATTAAAGTAGATACGCTATTTAGGGGGGAATTAGCTATTAATATATTATAAAAAAAAATATTTACTTTTTATAATAACGTATAAAAATAGCGCTTAATTATCTATATATATACTTTAAACAATAAAAACCTATTCTTAATTATTAAACTATTTCGTACAAAGCTTTTTATAATAATTAAAAGTTATAATAACCTTTACGTATAAAAATATTCTTATTAAAAAGCCCGTTTTATTAAAATTATAAATATCATAATTATATATTCCGTATTTCGTAATCGTATTTTATATAAAAATAAACTAAGTTTAAATAATTATAAGATCCTTAGTTAATACTTTTTAATAATTAATTTTATATTAAAAACACGTCTTTAGTTATAATTAACGTTATATAAAGTTCTTTACTTATTGCGGTTTAATATACGTTATATCGTATTTAGTAAAAAAGTAATCGGCTATATTTTATACGTTATTAAATTATAATAAAATCCTTAATTAATTAAGTTAATAATTTATTCAAAAATTATGGTTTTTTTTAAAAAAGTTATTTTTTTTTAAATTCGTACGAGTTTTATATTAAGGTAATAAATTAATACGTCGGTTATAAAATATTATTTTTAAAATATTATAAATAAAAGTTATTTTTTATATAAATAAATTTAGGTCTTTTTTAATAATTTAAAATATAAAGATAATACGATTTTTATTTAAAAAAGAATTTATAATCGTACGTAAAGAAAAATAGTTATTAAGATAGAAAATATAAAAAAAAAAGAAAGTAGGTAACTCGCTATAATAAGCGACTCGCTATATATATACGTTATACGTAATACATATTTTAATAAAACTACCTTTTATTAAAAAAAAGAAATTATAAAAATATTATTTATAGCCACGGCTAGTTTAATTATTAAAAATATTTAAAAACTTATAAATATTATAAGTACGGTTTTTAAACTTTTAAGCGTTTTAAATATAAATAAAAACGAGCTTATTTAAATAACTATTAAATTTAAAATACTTATTTAATTAATTTAAACCGTAGTCCGTATATTAAAAAACGTCGAAACGTTTAAAATAGTTTTAAAAAAAAAGAAATTAATAACCCTTAAATAAACCCTTAATATTAAAAATATATCGATAATTATAAATAAAAAACCGATTATTACGGAATTTAAAAGCTTAAGAACTATATTATAAAACGTATAAATAGTTAATAATTTAAAAATAATATTTAATAATAATAATAAAGCCGAGTATTTAGATTTAATATTATAAAAAAGGCAGGGCGGACCGGAGGCGTAATTATTAATATTATTTTAATAAACTATATTAAAAAAAAAGCGAAGAGGGATAATAAAAATTTATAAGCCGCTTATATATAAAAGCGTACGGACTTAAAAAACGATAATAAATTTTATAATTATATATAATTTCCTTAAATAATTAAAAGATATAAAAAACGGACTTCTAAATAACTTAAATTAAAATCTTTTATAAATTTACTTTTTTAATTAAAAAATACGATATTATAACTATAATTTTATATACCGTATACTTTATAAAATATTATAAACTATAATATAAAATAATTAAATTAAATATAATACGATTATTAACTAAAAAGTAAGATATATTAATAATCTTTTAAAAACTTTAAAAAGTTAAAAAGAACTTTTTAAATTTTTAAATTATTTATAAAAGCCTTTTATTAAAGTAGTTTATAAAAAACTAAAAAAAAAAAGAAATTTAAATAGTTATTAACTATTTAAAAGCGCGTACGAAGCTATTTTTATTAAAATAAGTATTTATATATAAGCTTGATTAATATAATAAATTTAAACGTTATAAAGCGCGGATCTATATTCATAACGATTTATAATTAATTACGATTTATAATATATATATAATAACGCTTATAGTTAAGACTTTTAAATTAATAATAGCTTTAATAGCGTAATTTAATTTAAAATTATTTTAATACGATATTATAAACGCCTTCCTAAACGCAGAAGTTAATAAATATAACGAATTAATTATTTATAAATTTTTAAATAAATTTAAAATCGATAGGAAATATATTTAATTTAAAAGAGCTTTATATAAACTTCGCGACGCGTTTTATTTATAATATAAAACGTTTTTAAATATATTTAAAAGCTTAGGCTTATTTTTAATAACTAAAAATCTTTATATATATTAAAATCCGAACTATAAAATTATTATTATTTTTTATATAAACGATATTTTTATATTTTTTTATAAAAATTATAAGTAGTACGCGGCTATTATTATTAATATTATAAAAATAATATATAAATTATAAAATAAAGGATTTAAAAAATATTATTTAAGAATTCGGATTATATAAAATAAAAAAAATAAAAAGATCTATTTTATATATAATATTTATATAAAAAATATAATTAAAAAGTTCGATTTTATAAATAATATTTATTTAGTTACGTTATTATTTATAAACGATTTAAAAATATATAAAAACTAATTAATATTTATATAAACGAAAGTATATTAAAAAAAAATAAAATCGGTTTTTTATATTTTAATATTAATACGTTTAGATTATATATAAACGGTCTTACTATTATTTAAACATTTTAAAAACCTAAATCTTAAATATTTTTAAATAGTAAATTAAATTATTAAATATTTATATAAAATACGCTATTTAGCGATTTATTACGGCGTATAAAAAAGTAAAATAAATTAAGAATTTAATTATAACCTACCTTTATTTATAACCGGCGATACCTTTTTTATAAATAATAAAGTTATAAAAAAGTCGTTATAAAAATATATTATAATACTTTTTAATAATTTAATTTAATAAAAAGCGTTTAAATAATTAATAATAACGACCTTTATAACTAAAATAAAACTTTTTTATTTATAAAAAACTATTAAAAAAATAATAGCGTTACGAAGATTTTTTTATAACCTTATATTTAATTTAAAAACCCTTTATATAGTTTATTATAATAATAAATAGATAATTAAATTAATTATAATAAATATAAAAAAGGTTTTTATACGCCTATACTATATAAATATTTAAAATATATAGCTTTATTAAAAGTACGCTATTAGTTATTTAAAAATCGAATATATAATTATAAAAAATATATTAATAAACGGTCTTATAAAGAACTTAATTAAAAAGAAATTTTTAAGTTTTAAAGCTTATTTAAATCTAATAAACGTATAAAAAATAATTATAAAGAAGATATAAGTATAGGAAATTAATAATTTAATTATAACCCGAACCTTAAAGGGCGCTTATTAAAAAATAACTTACCTTATAAGGCTATATTAAATAAAAATTAACTATCCTATAAGGTTATATTAAAAAAAAAATAATAAAAACGAAAATAATAGCCCCGGAGGGCGTACTTAACTACTATTATTAATAACGGCGTAAATAAAAAATCTCTTTTTTAATAATATTAAAAATATAACGGCCCTTAATAATAAAACTAATAAATATATAAAAGCGTTATTATTATTATTTTATTAAAAAGAACCGCTTATAATAATAGGCTTAGCCTTTTTTTTAACTTTTTTAAAAACGGGAGAGGACTTAAAACCTTTAGCTTTATAAATAATAAAATAAGTATAGGTAAGAATTTAATATTATTAATTAAAAGTTTATAAAACGGATTTTTAAAAACTTATATAAGAGTTAATAAGGGGGTCGTTAATTAAAAAACTTATTAAATAAACTATAAAAAGGCAGATATTAAATAAAATAATAATATAATTACGACCGTTTTAAAAATATTCGGCGTATTTATTTTTAATATAAAAGGCCTTTTTTATAATAATAAAATATATATAATACGCTCCAATGCTTTTATTAAACTTTATTAAAATAAAATAAAAGATATAAAAAATAGGATTTAAAATATTAAGCTTTTTTTTTTTATTTTTTTTATTATAATAGCTTTATTTTTAATTTTATTTTTAAATATAATTATAAATAAAGCCGTACCGATTTTAAATTTAACCAGGGATTTAGTTATTTTAATAAAAATAATATAAATATTAATTTCTTTTTTTTTATAAATTATTTAAATATATTAAAAATAATATTTTAAAAAATTTAAAAAAAAGAAAATTTATAAGCCTTAGTAACGGCCTTTTTAAAAGCGTTATTAAAAATAGCTTTACGGCTCGCTTTCTCAGCCTATTATTTAAATTATTAATATAAAAGCTTTTTTTTTTTTAAAATTAATAAGGTAAAGGTTATTAAAAGTTTATAATTTTTTTTTTTAAATTTCCTTTTTAGGGTCCTTAAGGCCTTTATTAACAAGCTTATTAACCTTTTTTTTAATAACGGCCTTAGCGGCGGCGTCGGCGGCTTTTTTAACAGTAGCGGCGTTAATAATATATTTAATAACGGCGGCGGCGTAAATAATAGCTTTTTTAGACTTAGCGGCGCAGGCGGCTTAAGCGCGCTCGGCAGTACCTTTTTTAATAGGGGTAGTGCCGGCTATTATATATATATATATATTTATATATATATATATATATATTTAATTACTATATTATAATCTATTAGCGTTAAAAAAAGGTTATGTAAAGTTAAAAACTAATTTAAAAAACTTATAAAAACGACTTACGAAAAACTTAAAAAAAACAAGAAATTTAATAAAAAGGTAGGTAATAAAAAAGGGTATTTTTATTATTTACTAGCCCGTTTAAATAATAACTTAACGACCGACCTTACGATAATTTATTTACTAATAAATATATATAATAATAATAATAACGCGCTTATAAAAATATATTATAACGCTATTATTTATAAAATAATATAGGATTACTATTTTTAATAAATTCTTTTTATTAAACTTATTTTGTTTTATTAATTATTTTTATATTTATTTAAAAAGGATATAAAAAGGATTTATATATACGATTTAATTACGAATAGCTTTATAATTAGGGGGGTATATTATAAAAGGTTTAGTATATAATTATATATAGTTAAGGTAGTACCCGCTTAAGTACGCTTACTAACCTACTTTTTAAGCGCTTTTAAACGGTATATTTATTTAATCGGTTTATAGAATATTTTCGAAAAAAGATAAGTATTTTAGATTATAAGAACTACGTTTCTATGCTCCTAGCCTATAATAAGTTTTTAAATATATTTAAAAACGTTTTATATTATAAATAAAGTACGTTATAAAGTTTATATAAAGCTTTTTTAAATTAAATATATTTCTTATTAATTTTAAATTTATTTAAAAGTTTATAAATAATTAGTTCGTTGTATTTATTAATTTTTACGTTTAGGAAAGCATTTATAATATTATATTAAAATAATTTTAAATCGAATTACATTATTAAAATTATTATTAATTTAAAAGTTTTAATTATAAATATTATTATATATATATTATAAATCGTAACTAATTATAAATCGTTATAAATAAAAATCCGCGCTTTATAATATTTAAATTTATTATATTAATTAAGTTTATATATAAATATTTATTTTAATAAAAATAGTTTTATATACGCTTTTAAATAATTAATAACTATTTAAGTTTTTTTTTTTTTAACTTTTTTAATTCTTTATAAGCTATTTTAATTAAAACTCTTATAAATAATTTAAAAATTTAAAAAGTTTTTTTTAGCTTTTTAAAGCTTTTAAAAGATTATTAATATATAAAATTTTTTAATTAATAATCGTATTATATTTAATTTAATTATTTTATATTATAACTTATAATATTTTATAAAGTATATAGTATATAAGATTATAATTATAATATCGTATTTTTTAATTAAAAAAGTAAGTTTATAAAAAATCTTAACTTAGGCCGTTTAAAAATCCGTTTTTTATATTTTTTAATTATTTAGCGAAATTATATATAATTATAAAATTTATTATCGTTTTTTAAATCTATATATTTTTATATATAAATAGTTTATATATTTTTATTATCCTTTTTCGTTTTTTTTTTAATATAGTTTATTAAGGTAATATTAATAATTATATTTTTAACCCGTTCGGCCTTTTTTATAATATAAAATTTAAGTACTCGGCTTTATTATTATTATTAAATATTATTTTTAAATTATTAACTATTAATACGTTTTATAATATAGTGCTTAAGTTTTTAAATTTTATAATAATTAGTTTTTTATTTATAATTATTAGTATATTTTCGGTATTAAAAGTTTATTTAAAGGTTATTAATCTTTTTTTTTAAAGAATTATTTTAAGTATTTCGATATTTTTTAATATAAAAAATTATAATTTAAATTAATTAAATAAATATTTTAAATTTAATAGTTTTTTAAATAAGCTTATTTTTATTTATTTTTAAAACGCTTAAGAGCTTAAAAATAATATTTATAATATTTACAAACTTTTAAATATTATTAATAATTAAATTAATTATAATTATAAATAGTATTTCCGTAATATTTTTTTTAAATAAAAAATAATTTTATTAAAATATATATTATATATAATTATTATTTATTTAAATATAAAAACTTAAATTTTATATAAATTATAAATATTTATTATATATTTAACAAAATATTTAATATATTTTTATAAAAATATTTTATAATATTTTTTTTTAATTTTCTTTTTATAATTTTTTAAAAATAAATAAATTTTATAATCGTAAATATAAAAGGTTTTTTAATATAAATATAAGTTTTAAATTATTTAATAAATAAATTTAAGTATTTATTATTTAAAATACTATTTAAATTATTTTCTTTTATTTAATTAAGTAATTTTTAAATTATATTTTAATATAATAAGATATTATAAAAGAATATTTTTATTAATATATATTTATTTTATAAGCTTTTTAAAAGTTTAATTATTAATTTATTTTAATATTTTTAATAATTACTTTTTTTTTTATATATTTATTCCCTTTTATTAATTTTTTTATATATATAAAAAAAAGCTTAAAATTAATCTTTTTATTTTTTATTTATATTTAAAATAAAGCTTTTTATTGTATAATAATTATTATTTTTTATTATTTATATAGATTTTATAAATTATTAAGCTTTTTTAATAATATATTTAAAATTTTAAAATTTTATAATTTTAAAAACTAATTTTATTTATTTATTTTTTAAAGAAATTTAAAAAGCTTTATAAAATATTTTTTTTAATTATAAATAATTAAAAATAATTTTTAAAAACTTTTAAAAAATAAAAAAAGTTTTGAAATATATAATAATACGGTTTTAAAATTTAATTTTGTAAAAAAGATTTAAAAATTATTTTTTATATATATATAAAAATATAATATTTATATTTATTTTTAATAATCTTTTTATATCTTTTTTTTAAATATTATAAATTAAATTTTAAAAAGCTTTTAATTTTTAATAATTAATTTAAAAATTTAAAATTATTATATTATTTATTTTATTTATATAAATAATATTAAAATTAAATTTATAATATAATAAAATATTAAATTAAACCGTTATTATAAAATATAAAAAGCTTATTAATATTAAAAAACAAGCTATAAAATAATAAATAATAAATTTATATTATAAAAAATAAAGGGTTTTTTCTTTAAATAATTAAATTATTATTATATTTTTATTTATATTTTTAAAATATAAATCGTATTAATATTATAATATTAAATTTTAATTTTTAATAAATGTATTTTAAAACCGATATTAATATAAAAACTTTTTATAATAGTAACGTTTTTTAAAATAAGGTTTTTAATATTAAAATTCTTTTTATTATAAAAAGCTTTTTTAAAAACTTTAATATTTATTTTTATAATATAAATATAAATAATACCCGTTTTTATAAAAAGATTCTTTAAATAAAATTTATAAAAACTCTTTTTTAATAAAGTTTTATTATTAATTAAATAATATTCTTTATAACTATTATAAACTATATTATTTAATAAAATATAAGACTTTTTAAAAAATATTAAAAATATTAAAAAGTTTATAAAACCGTTTTTTTATAGTTTTTTATTATTATTAAAAATAATAATTATTATAACGTTTTTAAAATAGGTTTTTAAATAAGTTTTATTATTTTTTTAATTTTTTTAATATACGTTTTTAATATTATTAATTAATTCTGTTTTTTTTTAAATTTTTAATATAAATATAATTAAAAATTAATAATATAATTTAATTTTTTATTTTAACTATTTTTTTATTTATAAGTTGTTTTATATATTTAAATATTTTTATAGAAGTTTTTTAAACTTTTTTATAATTTTATAAAAATTAATAATAATTTATTTTATATAAATAAGTTTTAAATATCGTTTTTCAATTATTAAATTTATTTAAATACTTTTTAAAAATAATAAAAAGATTAAGATCTTTATTATTATTTTTTAAAAATTAAGTTTTTTAATAAAAGATTTTAAATATTTATTTATATTTTTTTTAAAATTAAAATAAATATTTAAGACTTTTATTTATAATAAATTTATTAAATATTTAAATTATTTATATCGATATAAAATAAATTTTAATAATTTTAAAAAGCTTTTTTTTATTGAAACTTTTTAAATTTTAAATATATTATAAATTTAAAATCGTTTATATATTTTATATTAATTAAAATATTAAATAATTAAAAAAACGTTATTTTAAAAAGTTTTAAAAAATACGTTATTATATTTTTTATAAATTATTATAAAAATCGTAAATTTAAAAAATATTAAATTATATTTTAATATATATAAAAACTTTTAAAAATTATTTTTATTTTTATATAAAAGTTTTATTTAAATATTTATAAATCTTTATAAATTAATTATTTAAAAAATAAAAGATTTAATTATATAATAGCTCGTTATAGTCGTTATCTATATTTAATTTTAATTAATATAATTTTTAATAAATTATTTATATTTACTTTTAATATTATTAAATTTAATAAAATATAATTTTATAAACTTATTAATTATAAAAATTTAAACTTAAACGACTTTATCGTTATTAAATATTTAAATTTTATTTTTATTATTATTATTCTTTTAAATAATTAATTATTTATAATAATTATCTTTTAATTTAATAATATACTCAGCGATTAATTTAATAAAGTTAAGTTTTTTTAATAATTATATATCGTTATTATTAACGTTTTTTATATTTAAATTAATAAGATTTTAAATAAATACGCTTTTTATACGTATTTAAAAGTTTATATATTAAATTAATTAATCTATTTTTATATTAAAAATTTAATTATTATTAAATATAAAAAGTTAAATAGTTATTAATATTATTAATAAGCGTTTTATGTTTTTATAAATTTTAAAATAATAAAAATACTCGTCCGTTTTTATATTTTAAAAAAAAGGTTTATAAGAGTTAAATTTATAATTATTATAAATTAAAAATATAAAAATATAGTTTTTATAATTTAAAATATTTATCTTTTTAAAAGGAGTTTTTATAAATTAATTAAATAGATATATTATTTAAAGGCGTTTAAGAAATAGATTAGTAAGTGTATTTAAGTAGGTATTATTTTAGCTATACGTAGCTATGCGCTGGACCTTTTGTAATAAAATTAAAATTAAAATTAAAAATCATAAACGTCATAATAAATATTAATAAGATAATAAAATTTAAAAATAAAGTTTTAAATTTCTTAAATTCTATTTAATAATATATAAAGAAATACGCTAATGAATTAAAAATTAAAAAGGATTACTTTTCAAAATAGGGGATAATATATACTTTCTTTATTATAATATTAAAATAAAGTAATTAAATAATAAATTAAATTATAAAAAAATAAGCTTTTTTAAAATTGTTAAGAAAGTTTTATTAATTAGTTTTAAATTAAAACTTTTAAATACAATACAATACTATTTAGTTTTTTATATTTTATTTTTTAAATTAGTATTTAAAAATCTATATATTAAGAATCATATTATTATTAAATTTAATAAATTAAAATACGAGGTTAAATATATTATTAACTACCGAGTTTAAAAAAGAATATAAAAATATTGTATTAAATAAAAAGATTATAAATATAAAGATTATATATAGAAACCCGTTATAAACTTTTAAAACTCTTAATAACTTTTTAAAAATTATTAAAAAACTGAATTAATAATTTTAAAAACGCGAACTTATTATTAAATTTAAATAAAAATTACTTTATATTATTAAAAGCTTATATAAATTATAATTATTTAACTATTTTATGTTTATATATATTTAATATAAATTTTAAAATATCGGATTTATTTATTTTTTATATTTTTTAGAAAAAAAGTTTTAATTTAATAATCTTATATTAAGTTTCAAGACTTTTTAACATAAAATAAATAATTAATAATAATCGTTATTAGTAATTAAAAACGGGCTAACTTTTATAAGGTTTTAAAAGTTTTTTACCTATTTCTTTTTTCTTTTTTATTTTAGTTTTCTTATTAAATATTAAATTTTTGAATTATAAATTATTAATTATTATAATATCGCAGGAGGTCTAGCGCACAGCTACGTATAATTAAAGTAATACCTATTTAAATACGCCTATTAATTTATTTCTTAAGCGCCTTTAAACAGTATATTTATTTAATTAATTTATAAAATATCTTTTTAAAAAAATAAATATTTTAAATTATAAAAACTACGTTTTTACGCTCTTAACTTATAATAATTATAAACTTAATTTTTATAAACTTTTCTTTTAAAATATAAAAACGGATAAGTATTTTTATTATTTTAAAATTTATAAAAATATAAAACACTTATTAATAATATTAATAACCGTTTAATTTTTTATATTTAATAATAATTAATATTTTAATATAAAAATAAACTAACGAATTTAATATATTAATTTTTAAATATATATAAAAAACGTATTTATTTAAAATTTTATTAATTTAAATATAAAAAACGTTAATAATAATAATATATAATTATTAAAAAAACTAAATTTTATTAAATTAATCGCTAAGCGTATTATTAAATTAAAAAATAATTATTATAAATAATTAATTATTTTAAAAAATAATAATAATAAAAGCGAAATTTAAATATTTAATAATAATAAAATCGATTAAATTTAAATTCTTTTAATTAATAAACTTATAAAACTATATTTTATTAAATTTAATAATATTAAAAACGAATATAAACGACTTATTAAAAATTATATTAATTAAAACGAAATATAAATGACGATTATAATAAACTATTAAATAATTAAATCTTTGATTTTTTAAATAATTAATTTATAAAAGTTTATAAATATTTAAATAAAATTCTTATATAAAAATAAATTAATTTTAAAAAATTTATATATAAATTAAAACGTAATTTAATATTTTTTAACTTTATAACTTTTTTAATAATTTATAAAAAATATAATAACGTATTTTTTAAAACTTTTTAAAATAACGTTTTTTTAATTATTTAATATTTTAATTAATATAAATATATAAATAATTTTAAATTTATAATATATTTAAAATTTAAAGAATTTTAATAATAAAAAGCTTTTTAAAACTATTAAAACCGATTTTATATTGATTTAAATAATATAAATATTTAATAAATTTATTATAAATAAAAGTTTTAAATATTTTATTTTAATTTTAAAAAAATATAAATAAATATTTAAAATTCTTTTTAAAAAAATTATTTTTTAAAAAGTAATAATAAAGGCTTTAACTTTTTTATTATTTTTAAAAAACGTTTAAATAAATTTAATAATTAAAAATAATATTTAAAATTTATTTATATAAAATAATTATTATTTATTTTTATAAAATTATAAAGAATTTTAAAAAGCTTTTATAAAAACGTTTAAATATATAAAAAAGCTTATAAATAAAAAAATAATTAAAATAAAAAATCGAATTATATTATTAATTTTTAATTATATTTAAATTAAATATTTTATAAAAAGTTAATTAATTAATAATATTAACAATACATATTAAAAGAATTAAAAAAATAATAAAACTTATTTAAAAAATTATTTTAAAAAAATCATAATAATTATTCTTTTTAATAATAATAAGAAACTTTAAAAAAACGGTTTTATAAATTTTTTATTATTTTTAATATTTTTAAAAAATATTATATTTTATTAAATAATATAGTTTATAATAATTATAAAATATGTTATTTAACTAATATTAAAACTTTATTAAAAAAAGTTTTTATAAATTTTATTTAAAAAAGCTTTTATAAAAATAAATATTATTTATATTAATATTACAAAAATAAATATTAAAATTTTTAAAAAAGCTTTTTATAATAAAATAAATTTTAATACTAAAAGTTTTATTTTAAAAAACGTTATTATTATAAAAAGGTTTTATATTAATATTATTTTTAAAATATATTTATTAAAAATTAAAAATTAATATTATAGTTTTAATATAATTTTATATTTTAGAAATATAAATAAAAAGATAATAATAATTTAACTATTTAAAAAAAATTTTTTATTTATTTTAATATTAATTTATTATTTATTATTTTATAATCTATTTTTTGATATTAATAAGCTTTTTATATTTTATAATAATAGTTTAATTTAATATTTTATTATATTATAAACCTAATTATAATATTATTTATATAAATAAAATAAATAATATAATAATTTAATATTTTTAAATTAATTATTTAAAATTAAACACTTTTTAAAATTTAATTTATAATATTTAAAAAATAAATATAAAAGAATTATTAAAAATAAAATATAATTATTATATCTTTATATATATAAAAAATAATTTTTAAATCTTTTTTAAAAAATTAAATTTTAAAATTATATTACTATATATTTTAAAACCTTTTTAATTTTTAAAAACTTTTAAAACTTTTTTAATTTTTAAAAACTTTTAAAATTCTTTTTTATTATTTATAATTAAAAATAAGTGTTTTATAAAGCTTTTTAAGTTTTTTTAAAAAAAATAAATAAAATTAATTTTTAAAATTATAAAATTTTAAATATATTATTAAAAAAGCTTAATAATTTATAAAATTTATATAAATAATAAAAAAATAATAATCGTTATATATAAAAAAAACCTTATTTTAAATATAAATAAAAAATAAAAAAATCGATTTTAAGTTTTTTTATATATATAAAAAAGAATTAATAAAAGGAAATATATAAAAAAAAAGTAATTATTAAAAGTATTAAAATGAATTAATAATTAAACTTTTAAAAAACTTATAAATAAATATATATTAATAAAAATATTCTTTTAAAATATTTATTATATTAAAATATAATTTAAAAATCATTTAATTAAATAAAAAAAAGTAATTTAAATAATATTTTAAATAATAAATATTTAAATTTATTTATAAAATAATTTAAAACTTATATTTATATTAAAAAAACTTTTTATATTTATAATTATAAAATTTATTTATTTTTAAAAGATTATAAAAAGAAATAAAAAAATATTATTATAAAATATTTCCGTAAGAATATATTAAATATTTTATTAAATATATAATAAATATTTATAATTTATATAAAATTTAAATTTTTATATTTAAATAAATATTAATTATAATTATAATTAATTTAATTATTTAAAATATTTAAAAATTTATAAATATTATAAATATTATTTTTAAGTTTTTAAATATTTTAAATATAAATAAAAGCGATTTTATTTAAAAAATTATTAAATTTAAAATATTTATTTAATTAATTTAAATCGTAGTCTTTATATTAAAAAACGTTAAAACGTTTAAAATAACTTTAAAAAAAAAGATTAATAACTTTTAAATAAACTTTTAATATTAAAAATATATCGATAATTATAAATAAAAAACGGATTATTATAGAATTTAAAAGCTTAAAAATTAAATTATAAAATACATAAATAGTTAATAATTTAAAAATAATATTTAATAATAATAATAAAGCCGAGCACCCGGATTTAATATAATAAAAAAAACTAAATAAACTAAAAGTATAATTATTAATATTATTTTAATAAATTATATTAAAAAAAAAGTAAAAAAAAATAATAAAAATATCTAAGCCGTTTATATATAAAAGCGTACGGATTTAAAAAATAATAATAAACTTTATAATTATATATAATTTCGCTAAGTAATTAAAAAATATAAAAAACGGATTTTGAAATAGTTTAAATTAAAATCTTTTATAAATTTACTTTTTTAATTAAAAAATATAATATTATAATTATAATCCTATATATTATATATTTTATAAAATATTATAAACTATAATATAAAATAATTAAGTTTAACGTAATATAATTATTAATTAAAAAGTAATATATATTAACTATCTTTTAAAAATATTTTAAAAAATTAAAAAAAACTTTTTAAATTTTTAAACTATTTATAAGAGCTTTTTACTAAAATATATATAATAAATTAAAAAAATTAAAAAAAAAAACCTAAACGGTTATTAATTATTTAAAAGCATATATAAAGCTATTTTTATTAAAATAAATATTTATATATTAATTCGATTAATATAATAAATTTAAATATTATAAAGCGCGGATTTATATTTATAACGATTTATAACTAATTACGATTTATAATATATACGTAATAACGCTTATAACTGAGATTTTAAATTAATAATAACCTTAATAATATAATTCGATTTAAAATTATTTAAATACGATATTATAAACGTTTTTTTAAATACGGAAATTAATAAATATAATAAATTAATTATTTATAAACTTTTAAATAAATTTAAAATCAAAAAAAAATACTTTTAATTTAAAAAAGCTTTATATAAACTTTATAACGTATATTAATTATAATATAAAACGGTTTTAAATATATTTAAAAGTTTAGGCTTATTTTTAATAACTAAGGATTTTTAAATATATTAAAATCCGAATTATAAAATTATTATTATTTTTTATATAAATAATATTTTTATACTTTCTTATAAAGATTATAAATAATACGCGGCTATTATTATTAATATTATAAAAATAATATACTAATTATAAAATAAAAGATTTATAAAATACTATTTAAAAGTTCGGATTATATAAAATAAAAGAAATAGAAAAATTTATTTTATATATAACGTTTATATAAAAAAAAATTAAAAAGTTTAATTTTATAAATAATATTTATTTAATTACGTTATTATTTACGAGCGATTTAAAAGCGTATAAAAATTAATTTATACTTATATAAATAAAAATATATTAAAAAAAATAAAATTAGTTTTTTATATTTTAATATTAATACGTCCGGATTATATATAAATAGTTTTAATATTATTTAAATATTTTAAAAACTTAAGTTTTAAATATCTTTAAATAATAAAGTAGGTTATTAAATATTTATATAAAATACGTTATTTAACGATTTATTATAATATAAAAAAAGATAAGATAAGTTAAGAATTTAATTATAATTTACTTTTATTTATAACCGGTAATACCTTTTTTATAAATAATAAAATTATAAAAAAGTCGTTATAAAAATATATTATAATACTTTTTAATAATTTAATTTAATAAAAGGCGTTTAAATAATTAATAATAACGACCTTTATAATTAAAATAAAGCTTTTTTATTTATAAAAAATTATTAAAAAGATAATGACGTTATAAAAACTTTTTTATAACCTCGTATTTAATTTAAAAGCTTTTTATATAATTTATTATAATAATAAATAAATAATTAAATTAATAATAATGAATACGGAAAAGGTTTTTATATATTTATATTATATAAATATTTAAAATATATAGCTCCGTTAAAAATATATTATTAACTATTTAGAAATTAAATATATAATTATAAAAAGTATATTAATAAACGGTTTTATAAAGAACTTAATTAAAAAAAAATTCCTAAATTTTAAAGCTTATTTAAATTTAATAAATATATAAAAAAATAATTATAAAAAAGATATAAGTATAAAAAATTAATAATTTAATTATAATTTAAACTTTAAAAAATACTTATTAAAAAATAATTTACCTTATAAAGCTATATTAAATAAAAATTAACTATTTTATAAAACTATATTAAAAATAAAAAATAATAAAAATAAAAATAATAGCCCTAAAAGGTATATTTAATTATTATTATCAATAATAATATAAATAAAAAATCTCTTTTTTAATATTATTAAAAATACAACGGCTTTTAATAATAAAATAAATAAAGTATATAAAAACGTTATTATTATTATTTTATTAAAAAAAACTATTTATAATAGTAAACTTATCTTTTTCTTTAATTTTTTTAAAAATAAAAAAAACATTTAAAGCTTTTAGTTTTATAAACGGTAAAGTAAATATAAATAAAAACTTAAAATTATTAATTAAAATTTATAAAATAGATTTTTAAAAACTTATATAAAAATTATAAAAAGGGTTTTTAATTAATAAACTTATTAAATAAATTATAAATAAATAAATATTAAATAAATTAATAATATAAATACGACCGTTTTAAAAATATTTAGTAAATTTATTTTTAATATAAAAGGCTTTTTTTATAATAATATAATATATATAATATACGCCGGTATTTTTATTCAACTTTACTAAAACGAAATAAAAAATATAAAAAATAAAATTTAAAATATTAAATTCCTTTTTTATATTTTTTTTTATTGTATTAATTTTATTTTTAATTTTATTTTTAAATATAATTATAAATAAAGCCGTATTGATTTTAAATTTAAATAAAGATTTAATTATTTTAATAAAAATATTATAAATATTAATATATTTTTTGGGAATTAATATAAAGGTATATAGAATTAATATAAAAGTATACACCTTATAGCGGCATACACATTTACTATCCTAATTAATTTAAAATTATAATATATTCCTATAAAAGCGGTAAAGGTGTTTATAATAGTATTTCGATAATTTAATAATTTTAAAACTCTTACTAAATAATATATATTTTAAGTTATTCCTTATAAAATATTTATAAAGTCCTTAAGGGTAATAAAAAATAAATAAATAATTATTTTTACCTTAATTATAGCGTTAATTTATAATAAATTATTTAAATAATAAATAGAATAATATAATCGTAAATTCTTTTATTCGCTATTATTTAATATTATTTTTTATTTATTTTATTATTTTTGAATATTAAATTATAACAGCTTTTTATTTATACGACCCTTTATTATCTTTTTTTTATTAAAAATATTAAACTAACTTTTTATTTATCGTTAAGATTAATTTAAAGCCTAATTAAAAATTAAATAGCCGGCCCTTTATAAGTTTTGAATTAATAATAATTTATTACGGCTTCCCGGCGGGCGGCTTTATTTACGGCCGGTTAAGCCTTAGCTATCCTGTATTACAATAATTTAATATTAAAATTATTAGTTTTATTAAAATAGCGTAAGTTTTATAAGAACTTATTATATTACGTTTTTTAATTTATTATAGAAAAACGTTATAATTTTTAAATTTAAAATCCGACGGTAAGGATTAAAAAAAGACGTTATTTAAAGTTATTACCGTAAATAAACCTTTTATTTATTAAAAATTGACGATTTTGTTATTTTTAAAAAAATCTTATAATAATACGGGATATTTAACTTAATTAATATAGAATAGTTATTACTATACTTTTTGATAAGGGGTAAAAACGGCCTTTTTTTAAAGGGTATTATTTTACGTATAAGTTAGTATTATTTAGTAATTAATCTAAGACATTTTAACGAAACTATAATTTAAAGTTTACTAAGGTATTTTAAATAAAGGTTAAGATAATCCCGGTCGGTAAATACCTTATTTTTTATATAGGCTTAGTAAAAGTATAGCTTTTAATTATTAATTATATCTTATATAACGTCGACGAGCCGATTTAAATAATTAAAACCGTTAAAAAAATAGCTTTTAATATTATTATTATTTAATTTAATATTAAAAATAATATAAATATTAAAGTTTTAATATTAGCGGATAAAATAGCGAGCTTATTATATTTTTATAAGTAAGTATATTAAATATAAGTATTATAAAATCGGGCGTTAGTTATTAAACTTATTATAAAGCTTTTTTTACACTTTTTTAAAAAATTATTTTATTTTAATAAAAATAATAAGCTTTTATATAATAAATACCTTACGGTAAGTATATAAGATAGTTTAATTTATTATCGTATTAATATAAACGCGGTCTTTTTTATTAAGCTCCGTTACTATTTATATTACTAAATAAAGATCCTTTTTATTAAACCTATTATTATTATTATTATTACCGCCGGTTTTAATCTATTTCTATTTAATTTTAAATAAAACGTTAAAATTAATATAATAAATACAAAGCTATTATTAAATATTTAAAAACTCTTTACTAAATATAGTTTTTATTTACTCATTATAGTTTATAATAATAATTATAGGGTAACGAATTAAGTATTATTTAACTAGTTATTTTATACTTTTAGAAAGAAATCGGAAGCTTTTTAACCTTTCGTTATTAATAAGACTAAATACTATATTATAAATAGATTTAAAGCACGTCTACTTAGTTATTTAGAATAATAAAAGTTTAAAGCGATTAATATTATAAGTATTATCGAAGCTAATTACTTTTAAAAATCGCTTTTATATTTAAAAATAATAAAGAAAAGTTTAAATAAGCTTAATAAGGCGGTCCGGCTTATTATTAACTTACTTAATAACATAAAGAATCTATCGCTTATTAAATAATTTAATTAATACGGCCGTTAGTAAATAATTATTTAGCTTTTTTTAATTTAAACGTATTTTAATATTATAAATATCGTATTAAGTAAATACGGAATCTAGGAATTATTTTTATATAATAATATAAATGTTACGTACTTAAATATTAATACGACGGCTTATATTCTTAATAAAGTTTTTAATAAGTTAGGTAAGCTTTTAGTATAAAAGATAAGTAAATACCTTAAGGCTTAATTAATAATTATATTAACTATAGCGAGGGTCTAATAAATAATATAAAAACTATTTTTTTTCCTTTTACGCTTTTATAATTATTTATTATTAATAGCCGCACTTTTAAGACTTTTATTATCGGATACCTATGCTTTTTAAAAGATTAGGTTTATTAAATTAATTATATTAAAACGAATATTATATAAGCCGATTTATTTAAAAGGTATATTTATATCGTTTTATAATACCGAATCCGTTAACCTTTATAAATATATTAAATTAATTAAAAAAGGCTTTTACGGTAAGCTCTAGGCTACTTAGGATCGATAGGTTTAGGATAACATTTAAAAAGGGGGAAGAGGATTTCTTAAATTAAATATAATAAAAAGTTATAATTTAAAAAGATAATAAATTTAAAAAAAAGTTTTATTATAAAAGTAAATATAAAAGTAATAAGTTTATTTAAGAACTTTATGTTTTTTATTAATAACGGCTTAGCTTATATTATTAAAAAAGGGCGGTCGTTAACTTTTTATTAATATTAATAACTTATTAAATAAGTTTAAAAATATTATTAAAATATTTTAAAATACGCTATTAAAGGTTTTAATAATTATTATTAAAGGATAATAGACTCCGTTTTAACGAGATATAAAAGAAAATAATATATTAAATATTTTATATTTTTTTTAAAAAACGGCGTATAAAATAAAGCGTAGATTTAAAATATTTAATATTAAGAGGGGGGGCGCTATAGTTAAATAAAAGTTAAAGTAATATAATAAGTTAAAAGGAGTCGGTTTTATTAAAGAAACGGCGCCTAAGGTAAAGTTTTAATTTAATTTTAAGGTAATAAGGCTAATAATAAGATAATAGTCGTGTTTTTTATAATAACTCGGTTAGTAAATCGCTAATTAAATTACTATATAATTAAAGATCGCTAATTTTATAAAATTAACTAATATTAAAATAGCTACCGATTAAAAAAGGAAATAATAATATATTTATATAATAGTGTTTTAAAAGATATATTACGTTACTAGGGCTATATTTTATAATTTAGTAATATAGATTACGCCGGGGTTTAGCTATTAAAAATAATATATATTAATATTAAGTATAAAGACTACGATAATAAAGGAAATTTAAAATAAGGAGAATATATAAGAGTAGACCGGTAGAATCTGGATGTATTAATAATAAAATTTTAAGCTAATTAGGATGGTAGATGTGTATGCCGTTGTAAGGTGTATGCCTCTATATTAATTCTGTATGCTTTTATATTAATTCCCTATTTTTTTATTTACGGATTATTTAAATATATTAAAAATAATATTTTAAAAAGTTTTAAAAAAAAAACTTATTAAATTTAATAATAGCGGCTTTAATAACGTTATTAAAAACGTCTTTATTAATTATTTTTTTAACCTTTTATTTTTTAAATTATTAATATAAAAGCTTTTTATTTTTAAAAATTAATATACCGGCGTCGCAAATTAATATACTAACATCGCTCTTATATCGGCGTCACTATTCGGCTTTTTAATTAGCTTAAAAAAACAATACTTTTTTATAAAAACGATAAAAATAACTATATTAATATAACTATTTTTACCTTTTTTTTAATTTAAACTTTCATTTAAGATTTTTAAAAATACGTATTATAGCTTACTTATATTATAATCTTATAAATCTTAAATAAATACTATATAATTTTTAAAAAAGCTTATTATTTAATTATTTTTATAACGTAATTATAAAGATTTATCGTTACTATAAACTATTTTTTATTAACTCCGTTTTTTTTAAATACTAAGCTATATTAGCCGTTTATTTATATAATCCTTTATTATCCTCTCTTTATTAAAAACGCTAAACTAGCTCTTTATTTATCGCTAAAATAAACTTAATATTTAGTTTTAATTTAATTAATATATTTTTTATATAAGCTTAATTAATATTGATTTATTTTTATTTTTAAATAAGCGACCTCGTTATTTATTATTTACGCCTTAGTTATTATAAATAATATAAGCTTAACTAACTAACTAGCCTTTTTTAAATAAAGCTAGTTATAATAGGATAAGCTACGTTATATTTTTTAACTTATTATAAAAAGATATAATAATTTTAAAATTAAAAATCCGTTAATATAAATCTAAAAAAAACGTTTTTTAAAAACGCTACTAAGGGTATACCTTTTATTTACTAAATATAATTAAATTTATTATTTTAAAATAGATCTAATAATAATATAAGATACCTAACTTAATTAAAATAATATAGTTTAGATTATAGTTTTTAAAAAGGGCTAAGAATAGCTTTTTATTAAACGGTATTACTTTTTTTATTAACCGATATTACTTTTTAATTAATATAAAATATTTTAAAAAAAATATTATTAAAGGTTTATTTAAGTATTTAAAACGAGTATTTATATACTCCCGGCTTATAAATACTTTATTTTTAATATAAGCTTATTTAAAACGTATCTTTTAGTTATTAATTATGTTTTATATAATATCGATAAGTCGATATAAATAATTAAAACTATTTAAAAAATAACTTTTAATATTATTATTATTTAATTTAATATTAAAGGTAATATAAATACTAAAGTTTTAATATTTTTAAATAAAATAACGGGCTTATTATACTTTTAAAAGTAAGTATATTATATAAAAGTATTAAAAGATTAGGCGTTAATTATTAAACTTTTTATAAAGCTTAATCTAGGCTTTTTTAAAAACGTACTTAATTTTAATAAAAATAATAAACTTTTATATTATAAAGACCTTATAATATATATAAAAGGGGGGCTTATTAATAAGTATGTTAATATAGGCCTTATCCTTATCACTTAGTATAGTTATTATTTATATTAATAGTTAATATCCTTTATTATTAGACCTATTATTGTTATTATTATAGCTACGTTCCTTAACCTACTTTTACTTCGCCTTAAATATAATATTAAAATTAATATAGTAGATATAGAGTTGTTATTAAACGTTTAGGAACTATTTATTTAGTATAGATTTTATTTATTTATTATAATTTATAATAATAATAGTAAAGTAATAAACTAAGTGTTAGTTTATAAGTTAGCGGATATTTACTAAAAGAAATTAAAAACCTTTTAATTTTTTATTATTAATAAGGCTAAACGTAGCGTTATAAATAGATTTAAAGTAGGTCTACCTAATAATTTAAAAAAAAAAAGAGTTTAAAACGATTAATATTATAAGTATTATTAAAACTAATTACTTTAAAGAATCGCTTTTATATTTAGAAATAGTAAAAAAAGGTCTAGATAAAGCTAATAAAGCGGTTGAGCTCGTCGTTTATTTATTTTACTATATATAAAATGTTTCGTTTATTAAATAACTTAATTAACGCTATAATTAACGAATATTTAATTAATTTTTTTTAATTTATATAAGCTTTAGCGTTATAAATATCTCGCTAAGTAAATAAGGATTTTAAAAACTATTTTTAAATAATAATACGTATATTATAAGCCTAAATCCTAACTTATCGGTTTATAATTTTAATAATATCCTAAACTATATAAATAAGCTTATAATATAAAAAATATATAAAGGTTTTAAAACTAAGGCTATAATTCTATTAATTATACTAAAGGTCTAAATAATAATATAAAAATTACTTACTTTTTTTTTAAACTTCGGTAATAATTTATTATTTATAACCGTATTTATAAGATTTACGTTATTAAATACTAATATTTTATATAA